TGAATTTAGCCTGTGTGCTTGTCACATAATCAGAGCTGGGCTAAATGAAGAGGAACAAGGTCAGGGTTGGAGGAAAGCTCATGTAAAATCTGTGATCTGCACTTGACACACTCTTGCTTGCAAAGGTGACCTGAAACATTTACTTATTTAGCTTAAAGATTATGTAGTCTTTAGTATTGATTACATCTCAGCATAAAGAAAACAAAAAGCCTTTATACCTGGATCAGTGAACAACAACATCGTAAAGATTGGAACTGCCAAGCATTTAATTTTGCTTGAATCCACAGTTAACTTCCGTGGAAGCAGCAGTCAAGAAATCAGGACATATTGTACTGGGCAATAGGTTGCAAAGGAACCTTTTCAAATGTTAATGTGGAAAGATGTCACTTATGGATTAAGGTACAGTGACTTAAGCTGTGGTATTTCTGATTCCTCCGAAAGTACACCTAAGTTGGACACCAAGTAATGGAAAACTGAAGAATTGATGTTTTAAGTTTGTGATATTGTTGAAGACTAGTGAACTTCCAAAAGAGCAAACAAATCTGTTTTTGGAGAAGTGCAACTAAAGTGCTCTTTAAAAGTGGGGATGGTTACTTTGTCTCACACATTATAAGGAGAGGCCAGTCCCTAGAGAAAGGCAGCATAGTAGAGTAGAGTTTAGGTGAAAAAGAGGACCACCCCCACAGGAGGTGAAATGAACAGAGTGGCTGCAATAATGAATTCAGTTAAGCACAGCAGAAGATTACATAGGATTTGGTAGTGAGTTTTTTTTTTAATCTTCTAAGTAAATGTATTGTGTCAATTTGATGACATCTAAGAAAAACAATTGTTGCCAGGAGCATTCATGCATTGTATGTTGCAAAATGGTGATTTACAAATCTTATTGTTCTTAATAATTTTCTTCTTTTTGGTCCTTTACTATTTTTCTTAGTATTGCTATGCAATTTCTACTTGCTCATTTTTCTGCATGTTTGGAGATGAAGGTGCGCCTGATACAGGCCATGGTCTTTGCAATCACTTGTTATGCATCAGAGAGCTGGACAATGACTAGGGAGGACAGAAGGAGAATTGACGCCTTTGAGCTGTGGTGCTGGAGAAGAGTATTGAATGTACCATGGACTG